ATCTTTAGATCCAGCCCAATCAGCATCTGCAAAGCATTCTATTCTCATGTGATTATGATTTTGATAAACAATACCTCGTCCTGGTGTCCCCTTCAAGTAACATAATATATGCTCTACAGCATTCCAATGATAAACTGTTGGAGACGACATATATTGAGTTACTATACTCACAGAGTACGCAATATATCTGGACGGGTAACTGCGAGATAATTAAGCTTTCCAACCAACCTTCTATATCTTTCCGGATCTTCAAATGGCATGCCTTCATGAGTGAGCTGCACATTGGGAATCATGGGAGTATTACTCGGTTTTGCCCCTAATTTCCCTGTTTCAGTTAGCAAGTCAAGCACATATTTACGTTGAGATAGATATATGCCTTTCTTACTCCGTGTAACCTCAATCCCCAAGAAGTATTTCATTGAGCCCAAATCTTTCGTCTGGATTTGACTATGAAGAAAATTCTTAAGGGCCAAAATACCTGCATTATCACTCCCTGTAATCACAATATCATCAACATACACCACAAGCAATGTGATACCTGCTTTCGTTCGTCTGTAAAATACAGAGTGATCCGATTTACCATTGATCATTCCAAATCGTTCAATTGATTGACTGAATTTTTCGAACCATGCTCGGGGACTCTGTTTCAAACCATAAAGAGACTTGCAAAGTTGACAAACTTTTCCATACTCCCCCTAAGCAACAAACCCCGGAGGTTGCTCAATATAAACTTCCTCCTGAAGATCACCATGCAGGAATGCATTCTTAATGTCCAACTGATGTAAGTGCCAACCATGAGTTGCAGCGAGAGAAATAAGTAACCTGACAGATGTTAATTTAGCAACCGGAGAAAAAGTGTCAGAATAATCAACACCATATGTTTGAGCATAACCCTTCGCAACTAATCGGGCTTTCAATCGAGCAACAGATCCGTCTACGTTAACCTTAACAGCAAAGACCCACTTACATCCTATAGACTTTTTCCCTGTAGGCAAGTCTACTAAATCCCAAGTACCATTAAGATCCAAAACATTCATTTCCTCTATCATGGCATGACGCCATTCAGAATGAGACAAAGCCTCTTTAACAGATTTGGGAACAGAAATAGAATCAATGGAAGCAATAAAAGAACATGAGGCAGGGGATAACTGATTATACGACACAAATGAAGAAATAGGATGAGTACAAGACCGTGTACCTTTACGTAGTGCTATTGGGAGGTCAAGATCTGATGTAAAAAGACAAGATCTGATGATGCAGGTACTAGTTCAGGACATGAGATCGACGTCGGACTAGTATCAGGATAAATAATCACAGGTGTTGCCGATGGAGGGTGATCAGGTGCTTTGTGTCGACGGGTGTATACCAAGTGTACAGGAGGCCTAGGGTCAGAAACAGTAACTTGTGGAATACTTGTCGAAAGTGTGGACTCGGGAATAGTCATCGTGTAAGTGAGTATATCATCATTATTCTCATGAATATCTGCCTTAGATGATGAAAAAGGTGTATTTTCATGAAATGATGCATCAATAGAAACAAGATACCGACCTGTACTCGGACAAAAACATCTATACCCCTTTTGGACTCAAGAATAACCCAAGAAAATACATTTTAATGATTTGGGATCTAGCTTTGTAAGATGAGGATTAACATCTCTAACAAAGCAAGTGCAACCAAATATTTTAGGTTGGATAGGTATTAGCTCTTTATTTGGAAATAAGCAGTGATAAGGAGTTTTATCGTTTAAAACAGAAGACGGCATACGGTTTATCAAAAAACATGTGGTAGACACGACATCTGCCCAAAACTGTTTAGGCACATTCATTTGGAATAAAAGAGCCCTTACAGTTTCTAACAGATGTCGGTTCTTTCTTTCAGCGACTCCATTTTGAGGAGGTGTGTCTACCAATGAAGTTTGATGAATAATGCCATTTTGAAGCATAAAAGATTTAAATGGAGCACACAGATATTCTTGGGCATTGTCTCCTCTCAACACACGAACAGGAACATTAAATTGAGTTTTAATTTCAGCACAAAATGCAGAAAAATGAGTAAATAACTCTGATCGACGTTTCATAAAGTATAACCATGTCATACGAGAATAATCGTCAACAAATGTAACAAAATATTTGAAACCAGATTTGGAAACAAGAGGACATGCCCCCAAAACATCAGTATGAACAAGATCAAATGGAGCGTTTGCTCGTTTATTAAGTCGAGGACTTAAACTACTACGATGATGTTTTACAAATTCACACGACTCACATTGTATAGATGACACCTTATTAAACTGAGGATATATTTGCTTCATTAGTGGGAGAGATGGATGTCCTCATCGGTAATGAGCTTCTAATAGATTTCCAACCCCAAGACAAGAGATACCTTTTGTGATTGACGTATCCAAAATATAAAGACCAGCTGACTCATGTCCTTTACCAATAGTCTGCTTTGTCAACAGATCCTGAAACACACAATATCCAGGAAAAAATGTTACAGAACAATTAAGAGTACGTGTGATTTTACTGATGGAAAGCAGATTAAATGCAAAATTAGGAAGACTCAAAACAGGTGATAATGGTAATGTAGAAGTTGGGACAACAGTACCAGATCCCAGAACATGTGAGGTAGATCCATCAGCTAAAGTGACACTAGAAGTAGGTAAATATGAATGAAATGATGAGAATAGACTAGGATTACCAGTCATATGATCCGTGGCACCTGGGTCAATGACCCATTTCGAGGATGAGGAAACAAGACATGTGTTTGAAATACCTGAATTAGCAACTACCGAAGTAGGGACAGATGAATGCTTTAGTGATTCTTGGTAGCAAATAAATTTGGCATACTCATCTGAAGAAATAGCAATTGTTCCATTAGATGAATTGGTAGCGGAAGCAACATGAGCTAGCTGATTTCCTTGATTTTTGAACAGCAATTTTCTGCATTCTTTAATCAAATGTCCGGGCTTCTTGCAGTAATTGCATATTACTCCTCTGTCAAATTGACCCGTACAAGACATTTTTTACTCTTTTTTTTCTTTTTGTTTTTTTTTTGTTTTTTTGTGTGTTTTTTTATGAGAATGTAATTAAGTTCAAAATTGAGATTTACGATGAGAACTTACAACAGCCCGTTTGTGGACTCGACCTTGGAGAATAAAAATCCAACTGTGTGGGCTTTCACTGCTACTCCAGACAGAAGTCCAATTCCAGACCCCAACAAATACACGAAATAGCTGCGTTTGTCCACACATGTCAGATTCTATACCATAGACCCCAGCGACGTAAGACCAGAACATGCGTATGTCTGGTGCTTCGATTCCAGACCCAGCGAGCGACCAACCACTACACCCTTCCACCCAGCCAGCTGTTCCTTTGCTGGAGAAAGAACGAGGAAGAGGGTGTAACTCACGTGCGTCTATTCGGAGGCACGTATAACTCACGTGCGTCGATTCGGAGGCGTGTGTAACTCACGTGCGTCGATTCAGAGCTACGGATTTCGAAGGCTTGGTCGCCGACAACCTTCGCACCAGATTCGAAAGAGGGTGAGTTTCTGGGAAGAGTCTGATGTTCTGGGAAGAGTCAGAGTTTCTGGGAAGGAAGATTCTGAGGTTCTGAGTTGGGAGGTTCTGGACTAGAGGTTCTGAGAATTCTGGAGTGAACTCGGGTTCTTGGAGAAAGAACCAGTCTCAAAACTAAACTGATAAAGAAGAAAATAAGGCTATGACCGAGAACAGGGAAAGAACACAGGCTGAATAATGAACTTAAATCAGCTTGAATATTGAACTGAAATCTGAAAAACTAAACTGAAATAGAAATCTCTGATACCATGTTAGAAATATAAACTACAATGCTATTAAAGATGGAGAGAAGGATTCTCTGTGTATTTCATTGGAAGGTTAAGTCCCTATATATATACATTACATAAATAGAATATTCCTATAAGATTCTATACAATAATAATATCCTAGAGTATATTCCTAAAATATTCTAAAGCATATTCTAAAGATAGAAGAATATTCTAAAGCATATTATAAAGTATATTCTAATGTCTTTCACACATAACAGGTACAACAATAATAATATTGTTCTAAAATCCTAAATATACAACTATAAGCAATATGTATAAATGACATTAATTATATAATCCAATTAAATTATATAAGTAACTTTCAATTTTATTTTAATGATGTAGACATAATTGGAAAGTATGTAATATCAATAATCAATAATAAGTATTAGTGTATTACTCCCTCCGTCCCATTGGACTTTGTCAACTTTCATTTTTTGGTTGTCCTAAAAAACTTTGCCACTTCCCTATTAAAGCAACTAATTTGTGGTTCTGCACATTTCTCTCTCCTCTGCACAAATCTCAACCACACAATTTTTACTTTTCTTATTCCTCACCTACTTTGCACTTGGCGAAGTCCACCGGGATGGAGGAAATAGTATTTTGATGATGATTGATAATATCAATTATTAATTATAAAGCTTTAACAATTTGACTTAAATTTACTACTCCTTATAAATAAAGTTGAACTACGTATATAAAGCAGAATAGTTAGTGTGGCGCAGCTGGAAACGTATCCAAATTGCTTGGTGAGGGATGTAGATTCGATCTTCGTGTGCAACTTATTTTTTAAGCTGTGGAATGGGCGGGTTAGACGGGTTATTCTGGTTTAACCGGGTAATGGGCCGGGTTTCCGGACAGGCCGACAACAAATCAGCGGGCTTAAGCGGGTTTGGACATATTTGCGGGTTATCCATAACCGGCCCGGTATTCCCAGCGGGTCGCCAGTTTCCGGGTCGACCCACCCAGGTTGGTTCGGGTCTGGTAACATAGGTTAGAAGGATAACCATAAAAAGTTCCATGTGAAGCATCTCAGTGTGGAGTAGGGAGCATATTGAACTAAATAAATTATAAATTATGCTTATAATACACAATATCATAAGGCCAAATTCTGCTTCACGAAAAGGAAAAGCCATTCCAGAGTTGAAGAATACCTATAGTTGTAGTTTTTCACAACGAAGTACAATGGTGGTCCAATTCTGAGATAGTCAGATATGTTACTAAAGTAACCCTGCATGAAAATAAACTTGTACCACTAAGCAACAGTGTTTGGCAATATATATGACATTGAGCATTAATAAAGATAGCCAGAATCAGCATATCAAACCTGGAGATATGAGTCCTGGGGAAGAACAATTTGTTGTTCCAAACCTGGCTCAATCCTTGCACATAATGCCTTTGAAGACAGAAACATTATGAATAATTAAAATTATCATAAGAAAACTAGCATGATGTAAGAGTAGAATTGTAGACTGAAAGAGAAACAACTTACAATGCTTGCCATTGCAATAGCAGCGAATACGGATATGACACCTACTTTTACTCCCCACATACTTAAAATGTGAGCATGCACATCCTAAAGTGAAAAATAACTTAGTTAATCAAAAAAAAAAGATCAAGAAGGAAAAGGTTCAACACTATTAGCTTTAAAACAGGTCCCCCATCCAAAGGGAAAACATTAATAATGATACCAATCGTCATCACAAAAATAGTCAAACGAAAAAACAAGAAAACACTATGTTGTACTTTTGTAGTTTCAAAAGCTACTCACAGGGAAAAACATTCAGAAAAAGTTTACAATTATTTGAACAGCCTTTTTCCCTCCATTTTCCAAGAATTTATGGGAGTCAAGCAAAAGCTAAAAACTGCAGAAAAAATTATGTTGGTTTCTTTCCCTATGATCCCGTGGTTGCTATCTTGTTAATCACAAGGTTGCATCTAAGTTTTAGCAAATTAAACTATGAGAGATATCATGAATCATACAACTTCTAGACTCAAATGGAACGAAAGCCGTGTGATACTTATGAATATGTCCCACCTTCATATATCGAACCAGCAAACCAGGTTTTCTTTGTTGACTACCTATGGACCATACAATTTACAGTCAGACACGAAGTCTTGGATTGATAAAGTTGAAGATATAAGAGGTGAATGTAGAAAAGTTCCCAACTTCCCACAATACCTATATCATGATCAGAATTTGAATCAGAAACTTTAATACATGGAAAACAATCAATCCTGTTATCTTCTGCTCTCATAAAATCAAAGGCAATTAAGGAAACAAAAGCAGTCACTTGCAGGAGGAAGTCCAATAGAACAGCCAATGCTACAAAAATGAAAAGTATCACTGGGAGATTGACAAAAACAAATCAATGTATAACATCATTTATCAGATACACCATAATACTTTAAGTAGAGCAGCTTCCTAACCGGAAAACATGGAAAACACACGGCATGCTGGCATAGGAATGAAACTTCCTACTGCAAATGCCAAGACCTCTGCTAGACTAGCTAGTGTTATAGATGGACCTACTTCTACAAGAGCATTGCTCATTCGTCCTTCTAAAGGCAACTCCAATGACTGCCTTTTAACTGCATGCACCAATATGCACATGTTATCCACCCCAACCTGCAATATATTATACCAAAGGTCAATATTCTTGACATTTGACTTTTGAGAAAGTTGTACATTAAAATGCATTACCGAAACACATCAAAAGTTGAAGCAAAACTATGTTGAGCAGATATTTTACTTGAAGGAGGAGATTCATGTTTCCAAATGCATCTAATGTATGACTTCAATTTTGATTCATTTTCAATTTAAATCTGGTATATTTTAATCAAAACAGATATTTAAAGATAAAAAACACAAATAGATCATACCGCCAACACAAGAAATGGGATAACTTCCAATATGATGAGTGTAGATTTTACTCCTATGGCACTGAAAAAACCAACTGATCCAAGAACAGAGAGCATGACAATAACAATGCCAGAAAGGCCAAGCAACACCTGAAACAGAACCTTGCAGTTTATGGCATGAACTTTACAGTGTTACTTAATTGTCTAAATAATATGTATGCTAAGAGTTCATGCAAAACCGCACAGTGGCACAGTTATACTTTAAATGTCTTTCCTGTTGCAGCCTTTTAAAGAATGACTAATGAAGTGAAAATATCAAAAACAGCCATCATCATAAGTTTGTCATGTGATGGAGAATTGAAACTAGATGAGATAGTTGGTATAGTCATATCTCATGCAAAATTCATGTGTATTGCAAAGAGGTACTCATGAATGATTACTGAATTTCAACCATTACTCAAGATCAAATGGTAATGATCAATAATTGTCATGGCACCAAGGCACTTTCCGTGCCGATGGCACATTTATGGCATTGCAAAAGGGTTGAATGACCACATTCTAACCGAAATATGTCAAATTCAAATAGTCTAAAGTAGTTCCCAAAGTAACTCAACATCCAAAAACAGTTTCAAGTATTCCAATATATATCAACTTGTTATTCGTGTTCGATGAGTATGATCTGATCATCATCAATTATCACACTCCTTTAGTGGAAGTGTAGCTCCCCTTTAGTTGTTACCCTTTAGTTGTTCCCCTTTAGTTATCTGCAGCTTTCTCTGACAAACACATTAGTTGTGCAGCTTCTCTAGCTTCAATTCTACATTAGCTGGTTTCTATTTAGTTCAGTTATAAGGGTTCTTTATTTATATTATGGGCAGGCCAATTGGTTAATTAGTAATCACGGCCAAATCCCAACAATAATTAAAATGAACATGTTAAATCTGCTCCAAAAATATGGCGCATATGGTGTGGCAATGGTGATGGCACCACCACATGCATAACGGTTGCCACGAAACATTTGTGATGAAGTCTTTCAGATTGCCAATGGCATTTTATGGCACGCGCCATTTGTGCCATTGAAAACTATGGGAACAATCATTTAGGACCACATTTAATTCTTCACTAACTTTGGGAACATTTATTTTCCATTTATAAAAATAGTACTCATTGCAAAGTCCTCCTCGGTAAATGCAAATGGATTGCATAAGATAAATACAGAGGTCATTGATGTACCTTAGATGATATATAACATGAAGAGAAGCGTGGACTATCCCCCAATGTCAAAGATATGTAGGCAAACATTACAAGATAACTTATCTGAAACAAGATAATCATAAATTGATATAGACATGTATATAAAACTATGTAAGCATATATGTGCAAGTACAAAGTACATCAGACTATCAGAGACAATATCTATCCCCCCCCCCCCCCCCCAATGCGCGCACACTCACAGCAATAAAGAAAAAAACATTGATGGCATTTAGAGTCCAAAAAGAACAATGATGCTAACCACTTGATTCATGTCAAGTGATAATTCAACTCACAATCAAGGAAATGCAAAAATCAACATGAACCTATGGAGTGGTAAAGAAGATCATACCACTATAGTTATAACATCGGCATTGGTTTCTCGTTTAAGTTCTTCCTCAATAGAGCTCTCTGATGAAAATGCCAGTGTCAAACCCTTCGATTGAACCATTGGCAAGATTTCATCCTGTTTACACATTTGAATTTATTCTGCTTTTTTATAGAAGGTAAACTCTCATACACATCCCAATAAAGTATTAATCTGGATCATTGTATTTTTCCTGGTAAAGATGTTTTTTTAAATATGCATTTGTATTTTTCTACTTTCATTATTGTAACTTAGCATGTTCTCCCAATCCACTAGAACACACAAAGTTGTCCTCAATGGTATTCTTGAAACTAATAAATAGCACAAAAACAACATTAAGGAATTCCTAACAATGTGTTATGTGTCAATATCTTTTGATGAGCATGTCACCAAATAAGGCAGCTGATGAATGATAGATAATGTAATAAAAAAGAAGCAGACCTTCACTAACTGGATGAATGCCTTCTCCCAGGCTACGTTTCTTTTTGTATCGTTGCTTTCTTTATCAATTGCATTATTCACAGGATACGTTACAATAAAAGCAGAAGCCTGCATCGCGGACAAAGTTCAAACTGATATACAACTCACTCATTCATTCACTAGAAATGTAAAAAAGATTACCTCTGAGTAATTGTTACCAGAAAAGCCACCAAGAGCAGTAGTTGGATCAAGGGGGGCTTTAAATGCACTCATACAATCCTCCGCAGAAGTATAGTGCTACAGAAAACAACAAGGATTAAATCTCAGAGTTTTATTTAATTGTGTAAGAGATAAGCTTTTGTTTGATATCTTTATTTAATTTTTTAACAATAAGCATATTACCTGAAAACAATACTGAAGGTGGTCAATACCCCCATACTCATCAAAATATGTAGCATTCATCTTGAAATACTACAAACCAAATAAGCTGAATCGTGTAACAATTAACAAGTCACATCGGAAAGCCGGAGAAGAGACATAGTAAGAAATTTCTATCTATATGAATGGGTTAAAAGCTCTAACTATTAAGTTAAAAGATATGAGATCATGTGTCAAATTTGAGAAAATTGAAGTGGCAAACATACTGCTAAAAATGAAGCTGAAAAATGGAATAAAAATATGCCAAACCAAATGACTACGACTATAAGAGACCAAATTCTAAACACAAGTATAACCAAACAATATTTTATATTTCAATCCACCTGAGCAGTTAACAATAAAGAACTCTAAACGTAAAGGAAGAGGATTCAGAGATTTCATAAAGTTCAGTATTTCATTTTATATTTACCATCATCTTCTTTTTGGCCAATCACTAAAAACATGGAGGGGTTGTGTATACCCTTCCTCATTACTAATTTACAACTAAGCATCAAAAGTGAAACTTTGAAACTTTCATAGATTTAGATGCATTCATGTACCCCTGACACCAAAACACTTCATTCTTTTAAATCTGTAAGGACCATAGAAAACTATAGTGTAGAGACAATGCAGTAATTACCTGAAGAACACTTTGAGTAGCACAATCCTTGCCAAGGGGCTTCACACAAATGTCAGCTAGAGACACAATTGACTCGGAGTTTTTTGCTTTGACTGAGTCTACCTATTAAAATAGAGCAAAATTATATATGATGCACATAATTAAGAAAAGATGCATCATCATTGGACTTGTAAAGTGTAGATTATTTTACTTATTAATGCATATCTTTGATTCACCGGTAATATATTTATTAGGCGATAGCTTAGAGATCTTAGAATCTTTAAACATCCCTTATTCTTAGGAGACTTTAATTAGTAGGTTCCTACTTAGGTTGAATCTCTAGTTGTATATATTGTAATCTACTTCTCATATGGACTGATATAACAAAATTAGAACAGAGAACCCTTTCTCTATTTCTTCCAACTTACATGGTATCGGAGCGGTTGATTCTCTAGTATGGTTAACTTCGGATCCTATGGGATGACCACCGAGAGAGATGGATCTATCTCAGTCACCTCTGAACATTCAGAGTTTGTCCCAACAAGACAGCAAAAACCAGAATGTCAATGGGAGCACAATTACCATTCCTAACCATTCAGATTTAGTTATTACTTGCCATAAACTCAATGGCAGTAATTATCTACAATGTACAATGGTCCTGATCAGTGATGATGTATGTGTGTGGGAGAGACAAGGAGGACTACTTAACGGGTGATGCACCTGCTCCGGATCAAGAATATCCCGTCTACAAATGGAGGAAAGAGAACTATACTGTAATGCCATGGCATACAAAACAGCTCAAGAGATTTGGGAAGCTGTGAGAGAAACCTACTCAAGTTCATATAATACTTTTGCATTATTTGAGGTTGAATCAAGGCAGCATATCCTCCGGTACGGAGATTTGAGTGTAACTCAAAACTTAAACAATCTTCAAAGACTCTAGGAGCATCTTGATGTATTTGAGAGATACATCTGGTCATGTTCTAAGGATATTGTTGATGAATCTGTTGAGAAAAAGAAGAATCTTTTTTTTGTAATAATGAGTCTTTAGTGAGTCTTTAGTGCATGTTCAGGTTGTAATTAATACTTGTCTAATAAGTTTATATTCATTTATTTTTCAGTATCTGGACAATCATTTAGGGTACTGAACAGACACTTCTTAGGACTAGTTTTCTATAAATATGCAGTTGTACTTCATGTAAAAGTGAGTTCTATCAATAATAAAATTCAGAAAACTTCCTGGTATCAGAGCTAGGTTTCGTCTAAGCCTTTTTTGAGTCTATCGCCTCTCCAACAGTTATTTTTTGGGTGTCTCTACCCTTCTCTATCTTTAACTTCCGGTGGAATCTCTTCATCAAGGGTTTTATCATGTCTAAAGAAGCCGAATCAGCCTCAAGTCACCTTGACCACTCAACCATTGTTTCAGCTGCTACTACAGCTGCGGTTGCCCTTCGAAACCAGAAATTTGACCTCCCTTTTATTCCGCCTTCTTACCGTTTTAGTGTGAGAAACTATCTTGGATGGCCAAAGCTGGTTTACACTCTCCTTCGTGGCAAAGATCTTGAACTATATCTCACTGCCTCTTCATAAAGCAGTCCTACTCCGTTGCTAAAGATGGTGCTTTTGTCTATGATATTGAAGGAAAGAAATAATTTGTATTTAGAACACAATATTGTAGTTAGCCGTTAAATAGCAGCCTTGTAAACCAGTTTTAACACACAGGAATATATTCAAAACATTTGTTCTCTTCTCTCTATTATGGTATCAGAGCAACACGAGCTCTAACCAGCCATCTCCCTCTTCCTATGGAGGCAGACGACCCCCCTCAGCAAGGGGATCTCAGAAATTCCCCAAACAGGCAGCCTACCGTTTCTTCTACAATTTCCTCTACTGCAGTCATCAACCCCCTCACTCCAGATGGATTAATGATCCTCAACCCCAGCCACTTCCCAGAAAAACTTGAAGGAACGAATTACCTCATATGGCGTGACCAAGTGCTTGACCTCTTGGTTGGCTCTCATCTCGACCAATACATCAGTGATGATGTTGTTCCGCCACCTGCCAGTGACGCTGCAGGCCATCTCCGGTGGAATCGTCAAGATTGTCTCCTCTGACATGCCCTTGTCTCCTCCCTGAGCTCGGCGTGCAAACCATTGGTTGGATCCGCACGTACCTCTGATGCGGTGTGGAAGACCCTAGAGCAGCTTTACGGCACCCGTTCAGCAGCTCAAATCCGGAATATGAAAGATGTTTTCCGCCACACTCGACAGGGATCTAAGGCCGTGGGTGAGTATCTCCATCATCTCCGTACCCTCGCCGATGAATTAGCTAAGGCCGGTCGCCCTGGAGATAGTAAGTTATGTGCTGAATTTGTTCTTATGAAAGGTGATGTGACTCTGAAGATTGCTGATGGAACTACTTCGGTGATTAAAGGGACTGGCAAATGTGTTATATGTCCCACATTTCAAATTTAATCTATTACTCCCTCCACCCCTTAAAACTTTGTCAATTTTCCTTTTTTGGATTTCCCACACAACCACACTAACTTTGTCACTTTACCTTTTAAGTAAAGAACTTGTGGTTCCAGTTAATTCTCTCTCCTTTGCACAAACCTCAACCACACAGTTTTTACTTTATTAATCCTCATGCCGGTCAAACTTGGCAATGTTTTAAGAGACGAAGGGAGTATCAGTTAGTAAATTGAACAATGATACACATTGCCTAACTAAATTCTCCTCTCAATTATGTGAATTTCTGGATTTGTATTCGAGAAGGATGATTGGCAGTGCAAAGCAAAGTGGTTGGCTTATATCTTCTCTCACACTCACCACTATCTACCAACAAGTTAATTTCCCGCCAACAATACAATCTTCACCATAAGTCCTTGGTGAGTCTTGGTAAGAGTCAAATTGATAATCAAATTATGTTATGGCATTATCACCTTGATCATCCTAGTGTCTTGTACTTAGAAAAACTATTTCCTTCATTGTTTATTGTTTATTAATAAATGCTCTCCTTTTGATTGTGAAATCTGTCGGCTTGTTAAACATACCAGAAATAACTATCCTAGCTTACCTTACAAATCGTCCAAACCTTTTTCTCTCATTCACAGTGATGTTTGGGGTCCATCCAGAGTCGAAAACCTCACTAGTTCAAGGTGGTTTGTTATGTTTATTGATGATCACGCATGCCTAACCTGGGTTTTCCTCATGAAAGAAAAGTTAAAAGTCGACATTATCTTTCAAACCTTTTATTATATGATCAAAACCAGTTCCAAACCAAGATTCAAGTTATAAAACTAACAATACCAAGGAATATTTTTCATCAAACTTAGAAGAGTTTCTATCCAAAAAGGGGGTTATACACATTAGTTCCTATGTTGACACCCCACAACAGGATGGGGTAGAAGAGAGGAAGCATAGATACTTATGTTGTTGGAGCCCTTATGTTCACTACCCACACTCCTAAACACTACTGGGGAGAAGCTGTTCTGACTGCAGCAGCCTACCTGATCAATAGGATGTCTTCCAAAGTTCACCAATTTAAAACACCATACCAAATTATTTCTAATCTACGTCCTCAAATCCCACTTACCAACCTCCCACCAATAGTATTTGGATGCTAAGCATTTGTTCACATCCAATCTCCACATAGATCAAAGTTGGATCCCAAACCTTACCTTGTCTGTTCATAAGGTATGTTGCACATCCCAAACCTACCACCAAGAAAGTCTACATCACCATGGATGTTACCTTCTCTGAAAATCAGTCTTTCTATCCCAAAGCTGAACTTCAGGGGGAGAATCAGAGTGAAATCCTGTCCTTGAACCCTATTTCAGACCCTATTTCAGCCTGTTGTAAGAATTAAAGATAGAATAGTAATGGGAAGAATGATTTTTGTGTGTCTTTCATTGGAGGGTCAAGCCCATATATATATACATTACAAAGATAGAATATTCCTTTAAGATTCTATACAATAATAATATCCTAGAGTATATTCCTAAAATATTCTAAAGCATATTCTAAAGATAGAAGAATATTCTAAAACATATTCTAAAGAATATTCTATAATGTCTTTCACACTCCTCCTCAAGTTGGAGCATAAATATTTATCATGCCCAACTTGTTACATAAGTAACCAACACGAATTCCATTTAGTGCTTTAGTGAACAAATCTCCAAGTTGCTCTCCAGTCTTCACATGTCCTGTAGAGATCAAACCTTGTTGTATCTTTTCTCGAACAAAGTGACAATCGATCTCAATATGTTTTGTTCTCTCATGAAACACTGGATTGTTGGCAATGTGTATAGCAGCTTGGTTATCGCACCAGAGTTTAGCAGGCATTGGTGTCTTCAATCCCATTTCACTCAATAAATGGTTTATCCAGATTATCTCACATGCCGATTGTGCCATAGCCCGATATTCTGATTCAGCACTCGAACGAGAAACCACATTCTGCTTCTTACTTTTCCAAGAGACGAGATTACCACCAACAAAGACGCAATAGCCAGATGTGGATCTTCTATCATCTTTAGATCCAGCCCAATCAGCATCTGCAAAACATTCTATTCTCATGTGATTATGATTCTGATAAACAATACCTCGTCCCGGTGTCCCCTTCAAGTAACATAATATATGCTCTACAGCATTCCAATGATCCACTGTCGGAGATGACATGTATTGACTTACTACACTCACTGAGTATGCAATATCTGGACGGGTAACTGCGAGATAATTAAGTTTTCCAACCAACCGTCTATATCTTTACGGATCTTCGAATGACATACCTTCATTAGTGAGTTGTACATTGGGAATCATGGGAGTACTGCTTGGTTTTGCCCCCAATTTCCCTGTTTTAGTTAGTAAGTCAAGCACATATTTACGTCGAGATAGAAATATGCCTTTCTTACTCTGTGTAACCTCAATTCCCAAGAAGTATTTCAATGAGCCCAAATCTTTCGTCTGGAATTGACTATGAAGAAAATTCTTTAGGGCCAAAATACCTGTATTATCACTCCCTGTAATCACAATGTCATCGACATACACCACAAGCAATGTAATACCTTTTTTCGTTTGTCTGTAAAATACAGAGTGATCTGATTTGCCTTTTATCATCCCAAATCG